CATAAAAAATTACAAAGACTGTCCGTCATTTTGACAGTTTAACACTGAGGGCAATTTACTGTAATTCACATGCAAGACTGTCAATAACAACATGTAAACCACCTGCAGTAGACCCTACTGTCCAGTTGATGGTGAGTGTGTATATTAATTAGCTATTGCTTAGTAGTCTTGTCTGTGATCTCACATGCATGACCTCCTTGTCTAGCTGGCATTAGACACTGCATTGGTTTGGTATATCTCTACATAGCAAAGTGTCAGACCAGCTGAGTGCCCAAAGTTTATTTAGAAAGCCCAATAATTGTGATTTGGTTGACAAACGAGTAATACTGATAATGTATATCAGCACAGTTGTTGTCTCAGTTCATCTTTTCTCTCCATGCCCTAATAAATGTTCTGTATATTAAATGTTATTGTGATTGTGTTATAATTGAAAACAGGCTATATCTCATCATTAAAAGATTATATTAAAATGATGGGTAGTAATATATTATGACTACATTTTATAGAGAAATCCAAAGCTTTACTGGCCTGCTGTAGCTAGTTACAGTAAACTATGACTGGATAACTTCTAAGTTTTGCAAACAGTGAGTTGTCATCGTTGGAAAATTCATAGTTTTAGCTGAATCTTTGTGCTAAAAATGTCACATACCACTACCACCATTTTATATCTCAATTCTCTGTTTTACAACTTCAGATGAAATATCACACACCTCACACACAGTAACAAAAGTCCTGCAAAACTTTTTCTTTCTGTTTTCATAGATTAAAAATATACTGCTAATATATTTGCATAAAGTATTTACTGAAACATTTCCAAAGCCTGACGAAAGCTTTTGATTTTTCTTCCCCAGCAAACAGTACAGATGTATAATATTTCTGTACAGTTCTAATGAGCATCATTACTCCTGCATTGATGCAGTGCCAAATGAGCTCATTGAATTTTTAAAAAGGCACAGTTATTTAAAGCAAGTGATTTGAACATTAAATCTGCATCAAAAATCTGCTTGAGACTCACATCACAGCAATTAAGCATATTTCCCAAGCCCATTAGCAATTAAATGGATAGTTCTGGGGTGAGGGGGTGCAGATTAAAGCGGTTCTATAAACTTGGGAGGGAAACACAATGTATTGGTATACTCTGTGAAGGGATAGGGTCACAAAGAGCTTATATTGGAGGACAGGAAGCTCAGCTGCTTTACTCTCAGCCTGAACAGATGGTGAATGCACACAGCATCACTAAAATGAAGCCATGAAAACATTTTTGAACAACCTCCTAAGATCTTTAGCACTGAATCTGGCTGCGAGTATAGTGAGCCATCCTGAATTCAGTTGCACTGTGCAGCTTTTATACATCGAACCCCTGCCAAGATATTCTCTCCTTGCTTGCATATGGCACATTCACTTTTCACAACACATCACATCTTTATTTTTCTTCCCAATCCCTCTTTCTTTTGATTCTCTAGAGAGAGATCAGAGGAGGCCTTTGCTGAGGAATTTAATTTCTTGAGTCAATGCTAAGAAGTGACTGTGTTCTATTAGAGGAAGCACACTGTTCAGGACTATTGCTGTAGTCCAGTGAGCAAGAAATCTCGCCAACACAAACATGATAAGCTCTGCCTGTCCCGGTTCTTGACAGAATGCTGAAATTGTGTGATTGTTACAGCGGTGAAAATCCCTCAGGTGAAAAATACAACACAGGGTAGCTTCACTGCAGCTCCCACTTATTTGGCAGATATGGGACTAGACACGTCACGGCAGCACCACAATACATGACAGCAGAAAAATTAAAAACACAAAAAAGAGAGAAAGATATTTAAAAACCAAGGCGAAAAAACATTTTTTAAAGTACTGCATGATTTTTCTGACATACCACGATCAATTACTAAGCCCAGTCTCTATTGCAACTGAACTGAATTTTACAACACACATTTCAACCTCTAACAAAGTATTCTGTGTCATCAGCCTTTTTGAAAAAATATTTTGAATGGTTATTATAAGCTAATAATAGGCGCAGAACAAGTAGGTACAGTCATGCTGTTATATGTGTTTATTAAAAGCCCCTCTTGGAGAGTTTATAATGCTGAGGAAATTACGTGCATTTTTATACATGTGGTATCACCACATATTTTATTCCAAAGAACATACTGTGCTTACTTTGCAAAATTAACAAATATAAGCACATCTATCACTCTGACACATAAATTGAGGAGTGAATTATAGGCGCAAATGGATAAAAGGCAAATTTTCACTCTGCTGCTATGTGCGAGAATGCTGGAATAATCTAAAAAGAGACATGATTAACACCTTTCAAACACCTTTGCACAACACTTTAATTTCAGTCTGCTAGATACCGCCTTATGACGTCAAAGCAGTCCAAAAAAACAGATTCACACTTTTACCACTTCCAAGAAGGAGAGAAACACTGATGTAAAGGGTGGAAAGTTCGGCATAGGCAGACGTAAAGTGAGCAAACTTAGGGGTCAGGTGCACTGCTGCCTGCTGTTACCGCCAGGTGTTAAATCAACAAGTCAGCTGACTGCTACCAGTCCGCAGGGTGCAGACTCAATGGATGCCACAGACCCTGTCAATGTCTGTGTCTCTAAGTGCATCCCAGAGGAACATGTGCATGAAGCATGTCAGCCTCCAACATCAGTGTCATTCAGTGCTCACAGTTCATGAAGCAGTGCAATTTGCACAAGCAATTCTTGCACACAACAAGATGACCGACGCAGAAATGTTGTGTGGACATAGCATGGCGCGATGATCTGGGACAACTGAAAGCCATCAGTCCAGGGGGGCTGACATGCAACATGCACATGGTCCATTAGTGCATACATAGATTTTTCTTTTCGGCCTTCTTTCTTCTTTGAAATAGAATTGAGTTAACAAGGCTTTTGACTGGCATGCTTGCCAGTCATTACCAATAAAGCAAGGCCTGCACTGAAGCACAATGCTAAAATATTACATTAACATGAAACAATAGGACATATTTTACAGGAATTCATTACTTCTGCATTCTGCTTTATTTGTGCACTTGCTGCCCCTGTTCTGGCTTTACGCAGTGGAACCTTGTGGCAAAAAGAAAGTCAGTGTTGAGTTACATGAGTTGTTAGGAGCTGTAGGTCATGGGTCCAGATGGAACAGCTGTGCTCCTAACACAGACTACAGCTACAAGCAGGGAGCACTGTAGTCGCGGGATCAGTGCAGTGCTACAGCTGACTACATCAAAGGCCTCTGCTGTGGGAAGTGAGGGAGAGAGGAAGGGACAATATCACTTCCACAGCGGTCTGTCTGCAGTCAGTGGAGCAAATATTGGTAAGACTGTTGGTAGGTAAAGTTAACTTTGATGTAGCACTGAGTGTAAACACTGGGTGGATAGGTAACTTTTTTCCTCCACAACATACCATTTTTAATTTCAAATTTAGATTTGTAAAAAGCAGATATATAAAAATAAAGTCACACATCTTCTAAGCTTTACGAAAATAATGTTTGCAGGTTTCAAAGTGTTTTTCAGTGTCATATTCAGCTTATCCCTCCATCCACACATCCCTCCATCACAGTAAGGATGCTCAAAGGTGACAGCATTTGTCAAAATCCCCAGAGCAGAGGTGCCAAGACAAACAGTATTTGGAAAGGATGAGCAATTTTTCATTCATGTGTCAGTCATCACATGAAAAGGCACAAAGTCAACTATTTTGATAGTTACAGTCATTACAATTCAAATATTATTGAAAGAATTCAGAAAAAACACATAACTTCTAGTATATGGTGGTTAAGGTTAGGCTTTCTCTACATTGTGGAAATGGGAATCAAATGATCTCAAAAACAAAAGAAATACTCCCATTTATTTCATTTGCCAACATTATGTTATTTTGTTTGTATATTACTTTCAGTGTTTTCACTGTAAAGTTTTTTATTTCTTAAACTAAGACCTTTTTAAAAGGCATGAGTTGCTTGAGGACAAGTAGTGTACTTTAAAACTGGGCTGGTTCATACACATTAAAAGATGCTCACCCAGTGAGTCATGTGCAGTCAAATTCTATTCTAGTTTGAAGCAGCTGTCACTCTGCCTTCTACTGCCTGAATTTATCAACCATGGGGAATCAGGACAAAAAAATGGATCAGCATAAAAAGTGTGTCCATATTTGAAGTTAAACCATGAAATACATTATTGAATGTCATAAATTCTGGTCAGTTAGCTTCCTAACTGTGCCGCACAGAAGCCATAGGAAGATCACAGAAGCTATGACAGCCATAAATCTGAAATAACTTGAGCAAGCAAAAGTTGAGAGATTACATACCAACTAAGAGTTTTCCTGCTTCTGTTGTGAAACTAAGAACAGAGGGAGTTAAACCTTTTATAACAGCAGCATGTAAAGACAAACAGAACTCTTAAAACTGCACTCGCCATCTGTAGCTGTTTTTACATCTCACAAAGGATTTATCAAAAAAATACTTCATTCAAAGATTATCTTCAATTCAAGTCCAATAAATTTGATCTTCTACCCTATTGGGTTATCCCTCAACTTCTGACCTTATTGGGTTCTACTTGTATTCAAACTGTTTGAGCTAACACAATAAAGTTATATTATATTTAAAGTTTTCTTTCCATTAAACAATAGTGGATGTGTGTCTTCTGACACTGGGTATTATTGAAGCTCTCAGAGGCAGATTGTCTTTTGCTTATATGTTTTTCAACAAATAAATCTCACATTATATTAGTGACAAAGTGTGAATTCACATACAGATTAGTGCTGCTTGACTGCTCAGAAAGTACTGTAGCTAAGCCGGTGATCACCAGAACTATTTAAAGCAACAGTGTGCCAACTGAAGAGGGTGAATAACAACCATGGAGCAGTTGAGATTTCAGCAGATGTTACACTGTAGATGATAGAGACTGCAACAAACCTTCCTTCTGTACAGATAATTAATTTACGCAAAGTATATTATCCACAGTGTGTAACCATATCTCTTGCACTCTCCTTCTGCCTCTCTCATAGATCCCTCAGGTGAGCTATGCCTCCACGGCACCGGAGCTGAGTGATAACACCCGCTACGATTTCTTCTCCCGGGTGGTGCCTCCGGACACCTACCAGGCCCAGGCCATGGTGGACATCGTCAAAGCCATGCGCTGGAATTACGTCTCCACGGTAGCCTCTGAGGGAAACTACGGAGAAAGTGGGGTTGATGCGTTCATTCAAAAGTCTCGAGAGGACGGTGAGTCTCTCTTCAAACATTCCTACAAGCATCCCAGAGTTTTTTTAGACTGACTTGACAGTGGTTCATCTTGTGAAAGACTTTCAGTGTGATTGGACAATAATTGGAATAATGTGACATAACTAAATAGGTTAATACAATAATAACTTGTACAGGCAACTGTGGGTCAAGTACAGAATTCAGTTCATTTGAATGGGAGCACCAAAATCAAAGCCTTCCCTTTTGAAAGACGCAAATTTTCCCTGTCACCTAATGGCAAACTGCTTTTTTCAGTGCTGACCTATGTCGGGGTGATAACACATCCTGCTCATGTTATCACACCGACATAGCTCATCCTGAGGGAGCCAGCTTCTGTTGCACTATAAAGACAACTTGCAAAGACAATGGACCTCTTGGGACAACAAGGACTTAAAAGTATTCTTTGCTTCAACTGTTTGACAATGTTCTGGAGAGGTTTATTTATTTTTTATTAAACAGAGACTCTTGGGTATGAGTAATGCTAAAATCTGAATTATTTTCCTGAAATCTGACTTGAGTGCCCAACTCTTATCCCCAGGGAATACTTGTATCTGCTACACAAGTGTATATAGTAGATGCAATTGAAGGGAATTGAATTGGATTTTCTGATATTGAGAAGCAGTGATAGTGTGAAAGTGAGGCTGCAGAGCTCGCCGGGGGCAACATAAGGAGTTGGCATTGTACAGTGCTGGGAATACAGTAATTTTGGCACAGGAAGCTGCCAGTACACGCTCGATCTGACCCTTGACCCTTTCTGAAGCAGAATGTAATCACTACCGACATGTCCAGTACTCTCTGTGCCACAGCATCCCTTTCCATCCTGCCAGCTCTAAGCTGCTGCCCATCATCAGTCGTACTGGAGTAACCCCAGCAGCAGATTACTCCTGCAGAGTCCTCCATTCTGTCCAGCTCAGCTACCTATTTGCCTAACAGTCCATGCAAAGGGAAATCAAAACCCAACATGACAATTCCAGTATGATTTGAGCTTATTCTCTTTTTTTGAAAACATTCTTGAACTTTTCCCCCCTACTTTTAAATATACTGGTGTTAATGCTAATTAAGGCCAAACCCTGCATATTAATTTAAATATTTTGGTATGAGCCTCAGCTCTTTAGAATCCCCAAAATCCCATAAAAAGAACAGACGCAAAGAGGAGAAAACCTCTGGGTACTTAATGGCAGAAACGGCCTCTACTGCCAGTGTAAACAACAGAGGTTTTAAAAACATCAAAATAATACTTTTTTTATTAGGTAGAAAGGGTATTCAAATATTTCTTAGGCATTAAGGGATCTGCTGGTCTCTTAGGCTCAAAATTTCTCACTCTGATCCAGATGAAGAATCCCTACAGGTGCCTCCTATCCACACTAACACACCCACCTTTCATTAAATCAAGCCCTAACTGAGTCATGAATGCTTAAAGCCCTGCAAACCTCTCTTTATTCCACTTTTTTTCGGTCTCCAGATACAGAGATTACACTTTTTTATTATTATCATAATTTTTTTTGCATTTAGTGATGTCATTTCACATCAGGTGTCATGTCCAGCTTCTAGTTTTGAATGTCTTAACAAAGAAAGTCAAACATCTGTCTGAGGTGGTTTCTAAAAGCCATATACTACTGAATTTGTTCAGGAAACTTGAAGGGAGACCAACAGAAGACTTGTTTTGACCAACGCTCTCAAATTCTAGTGCCACAATAAAAGACAATCGAAAAATGTAAACCACGCAGGCAAAATCATTGTTTAGAAACGAAAGCTCCATTCTTTTCACTGCCTTTCAATTGTAAACAAGAATTCAGACAAGTATCTGTCAAGTCAGCCTGTAGGCAGCTCCTTTAAGTCTTTCGACTACTGTATGGGTGATTTTTTTCTAAAAAAGTCTGATTTCTACATGTGGGAGTATTGTATGATTTCTATGGGTTCTCCTCCAATTCAGGCGGTGATTGATTATATGAGAGAGACAGAGGACAAGCAGGCAACTCTGTCAAAACCAAAACCACAGGTATTTGGCTGCTAAATGGGTTTTGCAGTTGTCTGCTCACATAATAAAACAGCCAGATCAGAACCGGCCAAATGTTCTATCTCATTAAGCAGCCAAAGGCCATACTGAGCAGCAGTCTCACCCACCTAATGTCACAGTGGCCCCATTTTTACCATGCTGCTTTATGTGGAGGAAAACTGATTTTTGAATGGCAGATTTGGGTATGTTGAAGTAAGATAGAAATAATATGGATTTATGGGACAAAACTTCATATTTGAGCACTTCTGTGCTCAATTTCTTAGTTTGTGAAAAAAAAAATCACAATTTCTTTCAATTTACGATTTTGTTACTGGTATTTGATTGGTGTAATATCTGTGTGTGTAGGCCTGAAATACAGTTCATCACATCTGTAAATTGAGCACTTCATACATTACTCTATGTCTCCTTTCCTTGTTGTGATTTGAATCATGAGGCAACCTACCTTAGTAATCTGGTCATTTACCATCACCACATCTACCCATGAAGGAGACACAGCAGAGTCAACTACTGCTAGCTAGGCACCCTCCTTTCAATAATGCTGGGCCAACACAACACAGACATAACATCTAAATAACATCTAGGAAGCTCGGCTACTACCACTGTAGCCTCCACTTTCAGAGTGGAGATTCTACTTTCCAAATGTTGACTGTTGTAAAGGGACAGATGTCTTAAAGCACAGTTAATGACCAATACTATGTGGGCTTGTTGAAGAAGGGGAGAACATGTCTCTGTTTATATGCATGATGGTCTTTCGGCAGTAGCTCGCCATGGAAGGTGACAGCAGAACATATTTCCTTACACAAAAAGTGATGGATTTTACTTCTACTTTAGGGTCTTTGTCTTTGAGATTAGTTTATTTGTTTTTGGGAAACAGATCTACGGAGAAACAGATTGCTGTGTTGACCCACAGACCATATGCTGATGAGGTCCTAATGTCAACATATTGCAGCTGGTGTTTCTGTGGTAACTTTCAGTTATATTTCCAGCAGAGTCCACAGCTAGTCTTAAGCTCATAAACGGACATCATGACATTTTTAATTTGGCCTTTTCTTCACAGCGCCCTGCAGTTTAGTGTTTCTGTTTAATGAAAGCTAGAGGGCCAATGTAAAAATTTCTCCCATAATATGACCAAAAAAAAGGGGGACAGAGTAATCAAAATATCAAAAGTAGTCCGGCCATTCAAGTATCTATTTAATTTTGAATGTCCATTTGCTTCCTGGCAAAAGAGAATAGAATGCAAAGCTGAATGTTTGACATTCACTAGAGTACAGCCTTAGAGGCAGATTTTTTGGGGGGTCTCGGGATGGTGGTGGTGATGGTGGTGTAGGCTATAAGGTGTTAGATGTTAGATGACACAAGGTCCTGCTGGCGAGTGAATCTGATATGATTTGATCCTGGCTCACTGGTCTTTCAAGTGGAAACTGAATTAAACTGGAAAGTATTTGATCAGACTGGCTGGAGTGGAGTATCTGTGCCATGGAGCGGAAACTGTTTGACACTGGGGCCGTTGATATCTCAAAGGAGGTTACAAATAACCTTTAGTGTTTCTGTGAGAGCAAGCATGAACTGGAGCTGAAAAGAGTGAGAATAACAATTAAGACAATTGAGGGGGATGGCATGCTTCTGCTTAGATGACTTTGTCTAGAACAAGGTTAAGTTGAGTTAAAAGATCATGCTGAAAATGAATGAATGAATGAAAGTTTTGTTCCCTCTAAATACAGCATGCTTGTAGTTATCAGCAACAATGTGTAACCATGTTCTAACTCAAAATGAAGACGTGTTTTTGACAGAGTTCCAATAATCCTGATAGAGCTTGTTCTGCAGTGTTCATTTTAGAAATCTTTTCACACCCATCTAACAGCCAGACTTCCTTAACTATGTATGAAGCTCTTAAATCCAATTGTAGCAGCAAATCTGTTCTTCAGCGGCGACAAATCAAAGCATAACAAAGCAGTGGTGCATTAGCGTCAACACATGTCATTTAGAAGGTGAATCATCATCTCTATTTTTTTTCAGCTAAGCTTTTCACTGGATTTCTTTCTGGATGCTACTTTGGATTTTCTTAAATTTCACTGACCTCAAAATTTGTCTTGAATAAGAAATAAACATATTTTCTATGAATAAAAAAAGCATGATTCCTGTGGATATTTTGTCAGCAGGAAATGCTTTGTACTATTCTAAACACTTGGGAGATGTGCAATCTGTGAAGAGGAGAACTTAATTTTTACTTTGTTGCCATGTTTGACTGGGAATTTTGGCATCCACTGCTCTTTTTCTTTTCTTTCATAGGAGCTTTGTGAAAGTCTGCAGACTAGTCTATTTTGACTGTGGAACGACAAATCAGTTTTCTTCCTACTGAGATTAAGCATAATATGTTGCATTGTAAAATACAGTAAGTAAACTGTTTGTAGGTCATAACAAGACTAAGTTTGTACAGCCATATTAGTGCCCATACTAGACTCTAATTGCTCATACAGTTACAGTATAAATAAAAGTCTGAGGATCACCAGAGGGCCCCCTAATAGTCGACTTAGTTGTTAGTTGATGAGAAGAGTCTTATTCGACGCACTTTTCATTGGTCAGGAACTGTGCCTTGTCACCGGGACAAAAGTATCAGGAGATTATTGCGACACAGACCTTTTCTCTTGTAACACAGGGAGTCACTTACCGGTGTGCTGTTGCATATGCTAACTGTACTAGCTGCTGCCACAAGCTAGTTAGCGGTCCAATTAGCTGACTGTACCCAGACTGGGAGCTCAAAGGAGAGGTGGAGTCAATAGCATAGGAGCGGGGGACCCAGCACGGAATACTACCAAGGGGCGAATGTACGACAGAACTCATTTCAGATTCATTAGTGCTTTTTCAATTATCTTTTAACAGGTGGCTGTTTAAATATATATATATATATATATATATATATTTAAATTATTAAAGTTGACTAGGAAAATCTTTAGTCTGGGGCAAC